TACTAGAACCCTAATTTTCAAATTATAGAAGAAAATGGAAGATGGTAGAAGGAAAATGGAAGAAAATGATTTAACCCTGATTTGAAGATGAAAATGAAAGAGGTTGAAATATGGAACACAACTAAAGAATCATGGAAGAAGAATGAAGCAACAAGAATGAAATATGAAATTTTATGTAACGCAACATATACATATGCTGATGTAGAATTTTAAATTGGCATACTTGACATGCCACCTCACACAAACTAATATTTTTTTGACACAAACTAATAAAAAAAATTAAAATATTTAATGAAACTTAAATTAAAAGATCATTAAATAACATTTTTTAATTCAAGAAACAATGCGATATTTCAACCAAAGTTAAGTCGCTTAGCGGCATAATAATAATAATAATAATAAAAGTTTTGTCTATTGGTAAATGCAAAGGAAAAACAATGAGAAATGGCCCATGGTTTTAAGATTAATATTAAAATTTTGACGCTACAGCTTCCGATTCTCTTCAGGCATGGAGCAGACGCCGGCATTGAACGCCAGTACCCGCTGTCCACAGTCACCGGAACTGGTTTAACGAACCCGTCATTCCACTTCCAACTCATCATCACAGACATAGATGATAAAGTTCAACTTGAAGTTCTTTCTCTGCAATGCCAATGCCATCATCATTCCCAACTCGCAACTTTAAGCGCTTCAATCCCACCGATCTGTGCATCGTCAAACCCATCCTCTCTTCCAAAACCAATCTCTCCGAAGCCGTTTCTTCTCTTGACCTTTTGCACCCCAAAGGCATTCGCTTACCCTCCGACGTTCTCGTCACTCTTTTGCGTCGTTGCTCCGACACCAAGTCTTACCGTGAGGGTAAGCTTGTTCACCTTCATTTGAAGCTTACAGGTTTTAAACGCCCCACCACTCTTATTGCTAACCATTTGATTCATATGTATTTCTGTTGCGGGGATTATGTTCATGCACGCAAGGTGTTTGATAAAATGGAGGTTAGAAATTTGTATTCTTGGAATAATATGCTTTCTGGGTATGTTAAATTGGGGATGATGAAACAAGCTAGGAGCGTGTTTTATCAAATGCCTGACAAGGATTATGTGTCCTGGAACACTATGGTGGTTGGTTATGCACACTGTGGGAGATTTAGTGAGGCTTTGAGGTTTTATGGACAGTTGAGGAGATTGTGTATTGGATATAATGAGTTTACGTTTGCCAGTGTATTGATTGTTTGTGTGAAATTGAAAGAATTTGAACTTTGTAGGCAGATTCATGGGCAGGTTTTAGTTGTTGGGTTTTTATCCAATGTGGTTGTTTCCAGTTCAATTGTAGATGCTTATGCTAAGTGTGGAAAAATGGAAGATGCAAGGAGATTGTTTGATGATATGTCCGTGAGGGATATTCCTGCTTGGACGACGTTAGTTTCAGGGTATGCTTTATGCGGAGACATGGAATCAGCTGCCGAAATGTTCAGTCAGATGCCTAAGAAAAATTCGTATTCGTGGACTTCTTTGATTGGCGGTTATGCAAGAAATGGTATGGGTCATAAAGCTCTTGGAGTGTTTAGAAAGATGATCAAGCATCAAGTTAGACCTGACGAATTTACTTTCAGTAATTGCCTGTTTGCCTGTGCTACTATTGCTTCACTGAAGTATGGTAAACAATTACATGCATTTTTGGTGCGTAATAATGTCAGACCTAATCCTGTTGTTGTAAGTGCTATTGTTGACATGTATGCAAAATGTGGAAGCATGGAGACCGCCTGGCTAGTCTTTAATTTCGGTGAAAATTTGCAGGATGTAGTGTTGTGGAACACCATGATATCAGCACTAGCTTACTATGGCTATGGTAATGACGCAGTTATGATGTTCAATGATATGCTGAAATCAGGAGTGAAGCCAAATAGGACCACCTTTGTTGCCATTCTAAATGCTTGTAGTCACTCTGGCCTTGTTCATGAAGGGCTTCAGATTTTCAAGTCCATGAATAACGAGCATGGTGTTGACCCTGACCTGGAACACTATGCACACTTACTTGATCTTTTTGGTCGATCGGGATGTTTTAATGAGTTGATGAAGGATCTATTCATGATGGATTGTAAACCAGGGGACCATGTTTGGTATTCTTTGCTTGGTGTATGTAGATTGAACGGAAGTATATAGTACTTCCGCTTATATAGTACTCTCTAGTATATATGCTGCACTTCTGAAATGGGGATTGGTTGAGGAAGTAAGACATATTATGGATGAGAGACGCATGAGGAAAGATCTATCCATTAGTTGGGTTGAAATTGAAAATCAGGTCCATGATTTCACTGTATCAGATGGATTGCACCCTTTGAAGGAAACATTATACTCATCTCTGGGGCACTTAAATAACCAGATAGAACACAATGTCCTACACCTAACTGAAAAATAGAAAAATTCTTTTTTCAGATTGGTTATTTTTTGTAGAGAGCATATTGCTATTTTTTACCTTCTTTTTAGTCATTCCAGATGCTGCAGAGTTGAGTTTCCATGATGATATATTTATAATATGATACCTCCCGTAAGAAAGATATCGGGATGAATGAGAAGGGAGATTGTTGGGAAGAACCGACAAAAAGAGATGATTTTCATGAAAGATTTCTTGCTTCCTTTTTTATACCCAAATTGATTTGTTTGTATTTTCTTCAACAGAAACATACAATAAATTTTTTCCTGCAACTACGAACTCCCTTCCAATTTTTTGGGATAACACCTCTTTCCTTAGTATCACTTGAATTGTCTTCCATAGGGGGATGATGGAAAGTGGGAATGCTAATTGTGAATGATAAAACAGATTTTGCGATGGGCGCAGTTACTGATCGGTGGATACGGAAGATTTTGGAATGCAGATTATCACAGTAACTCCTACGTAGATTTCATGTTCTAGTTTACACAGCACCATTTATTTTTGGGGCTCAAAGGTGCTCATGTTGACAGGTAGGTACATTGAAATAATCCGGGCTAGTAAACATTAGCTTTGTTTTAACGATTTCATGATTTTAATGCAAGGTTTAGAAATTGAATTGGATTCATTATAGGATAATTCTTTTCCCTTGTTGGAATAAGAGCTTAGCATCAAATCTTTCTCTCTGAAGTATCTAAAGGAAACATTGAAATATGCATCTATGTATATCATGTTAATTGAGAAAAGTAATTTCCTTCATCAAGTAACTTCGTAATTTTTTTCTTGGCGAGTTAATGTAGTTGAAGATGATTTTCTGAATATGATTTTCTTTGGCGAGTTAATGTAGTTGAAGATGATTTTCTGAATATGATTTTCTTCTGCAATCCTCTTTGCACATTCTTTTATTTTGCACATTCTTTTATTTTCTGCTATTAATTGATCTGTGTAGGATAAGAGGTCAACAAGCGAATTACACATAAGAGGTCAACAAGTGAATCCTTGACATGCTTTATGTTTCAAAATTATATTTTCTTCTTAAATATATAAAATGCAACGATGGATTCATGTCAAGATTCATCATCGCATCAAAATTTAAAATCAAAATGAGCTATGGTTTTGCCATAATGTTTTATAGGCTCTAGTTTTCATGTTACTAGCATCCCTTGAAGAGAATTGCGTTGTTCACCTTAATTCTTGAAATCCAAACAAGCACTAATATTTCTATCCATCTATTCAGGTATCTAATTGAATAATGTATTATTGATCTCAGGTTTATTGATAACGGCACTATCTCGGGATGGCGGCCCCGAGCGGTGACCCTTCTTGCTCTTAATGAAAAACAGATGTAAAATCAAACCAAATTTATTAACTCTTTTTTTTTTTTTATTTATTTATAAATAATAGTCATTTAGACTCAGTTTGGTAAGACAAATATGTTTTTAGCTTATGACTTATAATTTATAAGTTCAAGACCTGTTTGATAATAGTATTTTTATTACAAACTTATATTTTATTTTATTAGCTTATTGTTTATTTTTCATATAGTGGTTTAGTTTATAACTTATAGTTTATTATTTTTTCTTTCACTTTTATCCTTTTTATTTTAACTAAAATTCACCACTATTCTTTATAATTTAAAATAAAATAAGAATGATTAAATATCTTGTATGTTATTTTATTTTATCAGTGAATTAAACCGTTAATTTTATCAAATACTTAAATTGATTTATCAGTTATAAGTCATCAGTTATAAACTATAAGTTACCAACTATTAGTCATAAACTTTAAGCTATCAACTAATTTATCAGGTAATCGCTATTTTTACCAAACAGAGTCATAATAATTCTATTTCTCTTTGTTCTCTTTTATTTATAGATTTTTATATAATTAGTCTAAAAAATAGTTAAATAATGGTTATTCTATTATCCACTATCTCATTTTTCGTGTTGACCACGGGAGTAATTTATATAATTAGTCAATCATAGGAGAATTAGACTTAAGAGAAATGTTGATGGAATCAAAAGATAAAATTGCTCTTATGTTTATTTTCAAAAGATTTTCGAACAAGTTATAAGAAATATTTTCATATATATATATTGTTTGTTATACAATGGATCATTTAAAATAAGATTACTACAAGTTTAGGACTAAAGAGAAAGCCAACTGAATAAACAAAAAGCAAATACCAAGTGAGATGAGTTTGGACAGCCATACAAGTGGACCAATCAATGACATTGACACGCATCGATTATAACTCCAAACCAATAATTTGAGCGAAGGTTCCCACACACAAAAGACAACATATGTTACACACAAAAGACAACATATGTTAGTGCATGAGTTCTTTCTAATCCAAAGCTATAATACTTCAACGCAACCAAAAAACAATTGAGTGAAGAAACACAAGTAACCTTTGTCCAATTCATTATAAAAGAAAAATCCATTTGGACGATACCATGCTTTATTATATAAATTCCCATCAACAAACTCATTACATCAAAGACAGAACCAAAGAAGAAGAAGAACTTCATTCTCTTCTCCTTGTTCCCATTTTCTTCTTTGACGTCAAAGAAATGGGATCTCAGGTCTCGAGACAAATCGAAAAACGAAAGGCGATTCAAGCAGAAGAGAAAACTCTTTCTGATCTAAAAAGCTTAGGAGAAAACTACCCTGGTTCTGATTACTACCCTTCAGACAGAAAAAACTGGATGTCAAATCTCAACCATCACAAACTCAAAATCAACATGATTGTTTGGCCTGGAACACATGATTCCGCAACAAACAAAATCGGTATACCGGGAATCACTCGTCCTTTCGCGCAATGCCAAACTTTGTCCATCTACAATCAGCTTGTGAGAGGAACAAGAGTGTTTGACATTCGCGTGCAAGAGAATCAAAGAGTATGTCACGGGATTATCGTGACATACAGCATAGACATTGTCATTAGAGACGTAAAAAAGTTCTTATCAGAAACAGAATCCGAAATCATAATCCTCGAGGTTAGAACTGAGTTTGGACATAATGATCCACCGGAATTCAACAAGTACCTCGAAGAAAACTTAGGCCAGTACTTAATTCACCAAGATGACGCTGTTTTTGATAAGACTATTGCTGAAGTGCTACCAAAAAGAGTTATATGTGTTTGGAAGCCGAGAAAATCGATACAACCAAAGATGGGTAGTAGTCTTTGGAGTGAAGGGTATCTAAGGGATAATTGGATTAACACAGATTTGCCATTGACAAAGTTCGAGAGTAATATGAAGTATTTGAGCGAACAGGAACGTGTTGTGTCTAGAAAATACTTCTATAGAGTCGAGAATACTGTTACGCCAGTTCCTGATAACCCGATTGTGTGTGTAAAACCAGTGACAGAACGGATTCATGGATATGCAAGACTCTTTATTAGTCAGTGCTTTTCTAAAGGGTGTTGTGATAGATTGCAGATATTTTCTACTGATTTTATAGACTTGGATTTTGTTGATGCATGCATTGGACTCACCCATGCAAGGGTTGAGGGTAAAGCATGAAAGAAATTGTTCTGTATTTCTTTTACATTGTATTTGGTTGTAGTGTCGTATTTGTGCATAGTTATGTTTGCATGCATTAATTGGAAATAGAGGTTACTGAAAAGCTCTACTATATTCTGTTTCTAGTCAATTAAACATCTTTGCATTTTGAGATAAAAAGAATAAAAGATCAAATAAGCAGGTGCGAAGCAATCCATGAGGATAACAAGAAATTAATTCAAAGTTCTCCAAAAGTGAGTTAGACTATAGGTGTCTTAATGTAGTGTCACATCCATGCATCATAAAACAAAGGAAACTTCACTGATAAGAAAATTCAATTAAAAAGATAAAAAGTATCGATAAGGTAAATAAGTGGATGGTGCAATTCAACTTTATTGTTGTTTCGTGGTAAGCAGAAAAATAGCATAAATCAATGTCTACTAAAGCTTTTATTAATTATTGAGATGCAATTTCCTTCTACTTTCTTAACTATTTCTTGATTTCACACTCTGTACCTGTCACATATATTACAACCGCTTGAGAAACTCTCATAGGTTATATTACATAACAACTCTGTCTTCCTTAATTTTTTGATAACAATAATTGTAACAATCACCCAAAACCACAAGTTCCCCTTTACTTACCACACTATACTATATATACATGGCAGATAGCGTGGTTGCGTTCCTTTTGGAACACTTATCCCAATTGCTGCAACGCGAAGCTAATTTGCTGTCTGGAGTGGAAGATAAAATCACGTCCCTTCGAAACGAACTCGAAATCATAAACATATACCTCAAAATTTCTTCTGAAGGGAAGAAGAACAACCACAAACAGATTGAACAAAAGGTTTTGAGTCAGATCAAAGATGTCTCCTACTTAGCCGAGGATGTTATTGACACATTCATCACCAATGTCGCCTTCAACAAGAAGAGAAATGTGCTGGGAAGAATGCTTCACAGTGTTGATCATGCAAAATTGCTCCACAACGTAGCAGAAAAAATTGATAAGATCAAAACTATGCTCAAAGAGATACATGAAAACAAGATCAAATACTGTGAAGAAAGCAGTGATCAATCAACTTCAGCGAGAGAAGAGGAGGAGAGAATGAAATCACTTCACAAATTAAGAAGAAACGTGGAGGAGGAAGATGTAGTGGGCTTTGTCCATGAATCTGAGGTAGTCATCAATAGACTCATAGAGGGTGGTTCGCTGCGACTCAAAGTTGTTTCAATCATTGGTATGGGTGGATTGGGCAAAACCACCCTTGCAAGAAAAGTCTATAACAATGATGAGGTAAAGAACCATTTCAATTGCCGCGCATGGGTTTATGTGTCAAATGAATGTAGAGCCAGAGAGCTTTTGCTTGATCTTCTTAAAAAGTTGATGCCAAAAAATGATTATGAATGTAGAAGCAGCACCACCAAAAAGGGTAAGAAGAAACACAAGGAAGTTGTGAATCAAGACATCTCTAGCTTAAGTGATGATGAGCTGAAGGAAAGAGTGCGGGAATGCTTGAAGTGCAAAAAGTATCTGCTGGTTCTTGATGACTTGTGGAAAATACAAGATTGGGATGCGGTAAAAGATGCTTTTCCGAATGAAAATTCAGGAAGCAGAATACTGATAACCAGTCGTTTGAAAGAAGTTGCCTCGCATACCAGTCGAGATCTTCCTTATCATCTTCAGTTTCTCAGCGAAGAACAAAGTTGGGAGCTCTTTTATAAAAAAGTGTTTAGAGGAGAAGAGTACCCTTGTGATCTTGAGTCTCTAGGTAAACAAATTGTTAAAAGTTGCCGCGGTTTGCCACTCTCAATCGTGGTTCTTGCAGGACTTCTAGCAAATAAGGAAAAGTCACACAGAGAATGGTCCAAAGTGTTGGGTCATGTTAACTGGTATCTTACCCGAGACGAGACTCAAGTAAAGGATGTTGTACTTAAACTCAGTTTCGACAACTTACCTTCAAGATTGAAACCATGTTTTCTGTATCTAGGGGTATTCCCTGAAGATTCTGAAATACGTGTAAGGAAATTGTTGCAACTATGGATGGCTGAAGGATTTATACAAGAAACTGGAAGTAGAGATGCATATGATGTTGCGGAAGACTATTTGTATGAGCTCATTGATCGTAGCTTGATCCAAGTAGCACGAGTGAAAGGCAGTGGAAGCGTGAAAACATGCCGCATCCATGATCTTCTCAAAGATCTCTGCATATTAGAGAGCAAAGAGGATAAGTTCTTTCAGGTTTGCACTGATAACAACATTTTAATCTCTACAAAACCTCGTAGATTGTCTTTCCATTCTAGCATGTCTCATTATGTTTCTTTAAACACTGATGATCATTCATGCGTTCGCTCAATGTTTTGCTCTGATCCAACTTGCTTAATTTCTCCGGATGAGTGGAAATGGCTTACCAAAAACATCAAATTGGTTCGGGTGTTAAATCTTGAAGAAAAATGTTGTTTTAAGATTCCTTCGAACTTAGGAAACTTCATTCACTTGAGGTACTTAAGAATAAACTCAGAAGATATTATAACTGTTCCAAATTCTATATGCAATCTTCAGAATCTAGAAACATTAGACCTTGGATCTTCCTGGAATGACACAATTTATTTCCCCATGGGAATATTAAAGCTCAAGCATCTAAGGCATATGTACAGTGTTGGGTTTATGATGCCACGAGGTCGTTGTTTAGAATCAAATGGTGATGTAATGTGGAATCTTCAAACAATCACTTGCATTGTACTCAATAAGAAAACAACATATCTCATAAAGAGAGGAAGTTTCCCCAAACTAAGAAAATTAGGATTGTTTATCTCCTCATACCTCAAGGGTGATGTGCCCAAAATGCTGCTAAGCTTACAACAACTGAAACATTTGAATAAGCTAGAAATCATGTTTGAAGGGAAAATTTTGCCATACTCGCGATGGAATATCAATAACAAGCCCGCGGAAGTTTTAGAAAGCTTGAAGGACTTGAGCCATCTGAGTACACTGAAAATTATCCAGGCATGCGAGCTTGTAAAATGTGTAGTCACGTTTCCTCCCAACATTACCACGTTAAAATTGATATATATTACTTGTTTGAATGACGATGGAATGAATGCCATTGGAAATCTCACCAAACTTCGAAGGTTGTTCTTAGCTGGAGAAACATGGTTGCTTGCATACGGTGTTTTTGAGTATCAATGTTCGATTTTTGATCTTAGTTGCGGTGAAGATGGGTTCCCACAGCTGCAGGAGTTTCATATGAAAGATTTACCTATCCGAAGCTGGAAGTTAGGTAATGGTTCAATGTCACGCCTTCAAATCCTTCATATTGATCAATGTTATAAGTTGAATAGCCTCCCAAGTGAGCTATGGTCTTTGACTACCTTAACAAAAGTACATGTTCGGAATCCTTCCAATGGAATGGCTGCAATGCTACACAATTTGGAAGTTAAGAATGGACGTGAAATCATTGTAGAGTAATTAGAATTAATGTTTGTTTGCTTTAAATTTGTAAGTTGCTAACAAAAACTTTCTCCATTTTTTACAGTATATTTTGAACAGTTTATTTATTAATTTCATGTCTCTTTCTTCTTATTTTATGTATTTCTATTTAGTTAACTAATGTATTTGAGGCTTAGTAACATTTAAGAAATATTATTAAATAAAAAATATTAACTTTAAATTTATCAGCATTTTAAGAAATATTATAAGTTATATATTATTCAATATTCGTGTAAAATTGAGTCACTTTGATGCTCTGAATCCTAATATGGTGAAATGAGGGCGTGGGCGACTGAACTCAACGGTGCCACCGTCGCCGGAAACCCTACCGGTACCGAAGGTCCAAGAAGAAGAGTTACGAGCAAATCCAAGAAGAAGAGTTACGAGCAAATCTCAATGAAGCAGAGGAAAACAACAAGGATGAAGAGAAGATCAACAATACGAACGAAACCCTAACGAAAAATGTGAAACTTAAACTGATGGAAACGAAACTCTGGTTAGATGTAATTAACGACAATCGGAACCCGACCAAAGGCTTGACTATGAAGTATGTGGCCCCTAAGATGGTAAACAGGGTTGTAAAAATCGAGATCGATCAAGAAGATATTGCTACTGAAATTCAATTATGGGAAAAGATTTGAGTATGAATGCCATGAAGAACTATATGCAGAAAATGAGTATGAATGCCATGAAGAACTATATGCAGAAAATGTGGAATTTTGTGAAGATTCTGGAGCTCTACTACCATGATGAGGGATATTTTTTGGTAAGATTTTGTTCCCAGGAGGATAGAGATGAGGTGATGATGAAAGGACCTACCCTATAAGGAACATGCCATTGATGTTGAAGGAGTGAAGACCTGAATTCAATCTAAAGAAAGACTTGCTGCAAACGCTCCCGATTTGGATTAAACTCCTTCAACTTTCTCTTCGTCTATGGGGAGTCAAAAGCCTCAACAAGATTGGAAGTGCCATAGGTAAACCACTTGTAACTTATTAATGTACGGCAAACAAGCTCCGCGTATCGTATGCTAGAATCTTGATTGAAGTAGACATCACACAATAGCTTGTCAGTGAAATTGCCATAAAGAAGGAAACATGATGATGCAGCTGTGATATATAAGATGTGCTCGTTTCTGTTGGTGCAAAGGTGAATAAATGATGAACAAAGGAAATACTCTATCAAGAATGACGGCTAAAAAACATGATAAAAGTTACAATGATTGTCACCCTATTTATAAGCTAAAACTAGGGTTACTAGAATAAGATAAAATACTAAAATACCCTCTAACAAACTTAGGGGTTAAGGAAAATAGTACAACTAAATAAATATGAATTACTATTAATATTTTAATACCATCCCTTAATTCATATTCCATCAAAACTTGTAACACCAATTCCATTCGTTAGTCTAAGAAATTGATCAGTCTTGATAGCTTTCGTCAGAACATCTGCCAACTGCTTCTGAATGCTGCAGTGTACAACTTCTAACACTCCACTCTGAACTTGATGTCTCAGAAAATGATACTTGGTCTCAATATGCTTGCTTCTCCCATGCAACACTGGGTTTCTGGCAAGATTGATTGCAGACTTGTTGTCAATCATCAACTTCAGAGGTCTGTCTACTTTAATCTTCAGATCCTGCAACAGATTCAGAATCCACACAGCTTGGCATGCAGTAACAGCACCTGCAATGTATTCAGCTTCACAGGTTGACAACGCCACAACAGGTTGCTTCTTGGAACACCAAGAAATGGGACCTCCCAGAAATTTGAACAAGTACCCAGATGTACTTCTTCTGTCAACTCTGTCTCCACACCAATCAGAGTCTGAATAACTCAGAAGTTCTGACTCATTATTTCCTCCAGAGGGAAATAACACTCCATACTTCAGAGTTCCTTTGATATACCTCAGAATCCTGACAGCAGCTTGGTAATGGGACCACTTAGGTTTACTCATGAACCTACTAACCATCCCAACTGAGTAGCAAATATCAGGTCTGGTATTGCACAGATACCTCAGAGAACCAACCAACTGTTTGAAGGTTGTAGCGTCCACATCCTTTCCTTCAGAGTCTGAATCCAGTTTCTGATTTGTATCAGAAGGTGTGACAGCCATCTTACAATTCTTTAGATCAAATCTCTTCAGAAGTTCTAATTCATACTTGAGCTGATGCAAAATGATACCTTTCTCAGAATATCTGAACTCCATCCCTAGAAAGTATGTCATTTTGCATAGATCACTCATTTCAAATTCATTCATTAGAACCTTCTTGAACTTGGATATCTCCTGTTCTTGAACTTGGATATCTTCTAATGGACCATTCAGAAATGCAGATTTTACATCTAAATGCATCAGAGGCCAATTCCTGTTAGCAGCTATTGCAATCACCATTCTGATTGTTTCATGTCTTGCTACAGGTGCAAACACTTCAGAGTAATCCATACCAGGTTTTTGTAGAAATCCTCTGGCTACCAACCTTGCTTTATGTTTGCCAATTGAACCATCTGGCTTTAACTTCTGCTTGAAAACCCATCTGACGCTGATGGCTTTCTTGTCTTTTGGAAGTTCTGTCAGCTTCCAAGTCTTGTTTCTCTCTATAGCATCAAGTTCTTCTTTCATGGCCTTCAGCCAGAGCTTCTGCTTAAGAGCCTCTTCTGTACTTATGAGTTCAGAGTCTACTAACATGGCACACTGAATAACTTCTCCTTCAGAGTCTACTTCAGTGTCTTGCAGCATGTCAAATTCTGCAAATCTTCGGGGAACGCTTCTGATTCTTTATGGTCTCTGAACTTGTTCAGAGTCTTGAGCTTTAGAGTTTCCAGCTTCAGATGGTTGACTTCCTCTAGAGCTTTGACTATCTTCAAGATCTGGCATATTTTCAGAGTCTTGGCCATCTTCAGAGTCTGAATTGCCACCAGAATCTGGATTACCATCAGAGTCTGGATCATCAGAGTCACCTTCATCTTCTGAGTCTTCTCCAGAGTCAGAATCACTATCAGAGTCAGAATCAACGTCAGAGTTTACTTCAACTTCAGAAATTCTTAACTCTGACCTTTCTTCAGAAGTTCTAACATCAGAATCAGATTGAGACTTATCCCAATTCCAAACTTCTGATTCCTTCACAATCACATCTCTGCTGAATTCAATTTTATTGGTTTCTGGACAATAGAGCTTGTATGCACCTGTACTGTGGTACCCTATCAGAATCATCACTTTGCTTCTATCATCCAGCTTCTGTCTTCTGGCTTCTGGAGCATGTTTATAGCAAACAGAACCAAACACCTTCAGATGACTAACACTTTGCTTATCTCCAGTCCACTTATGTATTGGAACTATTTCCTTCAACTTCTTCGTAGGACATCTGTTGAGTACATACGTTGCAGTGGCAACAGCTTCTCCCCAGAGCTTTTGAGGAAGCTTCTTCTCCTTTAGCATGCTTCTCACAATATCAAGCAAAGTGTGGTTTCTTCTTTCAGCAAGACCATTGTGTTGAGGGGTATAAGGAGCAGTAACCTCATGCTCAATTCCATTCTCCTCACAGAACTTCTGGAACTCTTTGGATTTATACTCACCTCCACCGTCAGTTCTAAGAATCTTCAACTTCTGACCACTCTGATTCTCAACCTTCATTATGAACTTCTTGAATTCATCAAACACCTCGTGTTTGAACTTAATAAGGGATACCCATGTCATTCTTGTGAATTCATCAACAAATAACACAAAGTATTTATTCCCTCCAATTGATGCTACTGGAAATGGACCACACACATCAGAATGTACAACTCCCAAGGCATGTTTTGCTCTTGGAGTAGCTTCTGACGCAAATGGCAATCGTGGTTGTTTTCCTTCCATGCAAACTTTGCATGACTTTTCAGGCTTCTTAATTGCAGGAATTCCATGTACCAACTTCTTTGAATTCAGATGATTTAAGCTTCTGAAATTCAAATGACCAAATCTTCTGTGCCACAACTCACTCTCCTTCTCAACACTTGTTGCACTGAGACATTCTGAGTCTGCAGTTCTGACATTCACCTTGAATGTTCTATTCCTTCCCTGTTCTGACTCCATAATCTACTTCTGATTGCAGTCATACAACTTCAGAAGATTGTCCTTCATGGTAACTGAAAAACCTTTCTCAATTAATTTTCCCACACTCATCAGATTGCTTCTGATGCCAGGTACATACCACACGTTATGAATCAATGCTGTTTTCCCATTGTTCAGAATCACTCTGAAATTTCCCATACCTTCTGCATTAAGATATTTGTCATCAGCACATCTGATCTTTGTTCTCTTTTCAGAGTCAAAGTCAACCAGCCATTTCTTGTTTCCAGTAAGATGATTTGAACAGCCAGTGTCCATATACCACCAGTCTATCAGATCCATATTATCAGATTCAGAGGCCATCAATAGCACAGATTCGTCATCAGAACTTCTGGCTATATTTGCTTCTTCTGGTTTTCTCTCCTTGTTTGACCAACAATCTCTAGCAAAGTGACCAAACTTCTTACAACAGTAACATTGGATCTTCTTCTTGTCATACTTTTCTTTTCCCTTCTGAGCATTCTTTTGTCTATCAGAGGTTGAGCTTTCTGACTTCTGACCACCATCAGATCTTCTCTTGGCTTCTGACTGCTTCTGATACCTCCTATCAGAAGTTGCTTTCAGAGCCTGCTGCTCTACTTCCCTTTCAGAAGTTCTCTCAGTCAAACGCAACTCTTGCGCTTCTAAACTGCTCTGCAGCTCTTCAATTCTCATGGTACTCAGATCTTTGGAATGTTCTATTGCTACCACAATGTAATCAAATTGAGAGGTAAGGGATCTCAATACCTTCTCCATGATTGTTTCTTCAGAAAGAGTTTCTCCACACGCCTTCATCTCATTAGTGATCAGAATCACTCTGGAGATGTATTCAGAAACTTTCTCATTATTCTTCATGTTGAGATTCTCATATTGCTTTCTCAAGGACTGAAGCTTCACCTTCTTCACTGATGCGTCACCACCATAACATCTAACCAGTGTGTCCCACGCAGCCTTTGTTGTCGTTGAATCTGCAATCTTCTCAAACACATTTACATCAACACATTGATGAATAAAGAATAATGCTTTCTGATCCTTCTTCCTTACTTCCTTCTGCGCGTTTTTCTGTTCATCCGTTGCATCTGCTGCTACCGGAACATAACCATCAGTGACAAGATCTAAAACATCTTGAGCACCAAACAGTACATGCATTTGGATCATCCAACAATTCCAGTTTTTACCGTCAAATACTGGAAGCTTGGTGTTCATGTTTCCGTTTCCGTTCATCTTCACCTTGCACAATACACTCAGATTTCTCACACAGTGTTTCCCAACCCACAAAATTAAAATTCTGATCAGATTTTGTTCAAGATTCAACACGAATCTAAGAATCAAAATCAAACACACAAGACCTCACGTTCACTCGTGTTTCCCGTGTTTCCCAATGAATCTGAACCGGAGCTCTAGATACCAATTGTTGGTGCAAAGGTGAATAAATGATGAACAAAGGAAATATTCTATTAAGAATGACGGCTAAAAAACATGATAAAAGTTACAATGATTGTCACCCTATTTATAAGCTAAAACTAGGGTTACTAGAATAAGATAAAATACTAAAATACCCTCTAACAAACTTAGGGGCTAAGGAAAATAGTACAACTAAATAAATATGAATTACTATTAATATTCTAATAGTTTCGATGATGTCAAAACTTAGTTTCATAGAAGAATCAATGTTGGGCGTTATCACCATGTTGCATTTGCATACCTCGTTTCTCATAATTAAATTGCTTGCATAAAATATCTTGGTTGTTGCATATAGATTTGTCAAAATATGTGTCATATGAGTTAGACGTTATTGGTGTCGTTTGTCATATCATAGATGTCATCAAAAAGAGTCGAGATTATGAAATTAGGCATTTTTAGCAATTTCAAGTCTATGAGTCGACCAAAGTTCTGTTCCAGTCGACTCACACTATGAGTCAATTTTGTGAATTTGCTTCGGGAGAGCTCGCGTCGACCCACTGGTCGACTCATACTGTTGGCATTTTGATTTGTCTAAAATTTCATGCTACGCGTCGACACATACCTTGTTCCGGTCGACGCATGGTTCTGGGATTTGCACAAGTTTGCAACCGGGTTAGCTCAGGTCGACCGCTCGCTGTTTTATGTTATTTTTCTGTTATGTTAACTACCTTTGTAAAGTGGTTTTAGTTGTTATGACAATTATGTTTGGTATATAAGTCCAGTTGCTATTTTCACTTCATAACATTGAGAAAAACAAGAAAAGTGAAATAGGTATCGATTCAGTTCTCATCATCTTCATTCTATTCATAGCATATCACAACAATTACACATAATCATCTTTGTTTTGCATTATGCATTGTTAGAGGTGATAACGTTCGAAGCCGAAGATTTGGTAATCCAGTTCGGGTTGAGGAATCGACAGGTTTTTCTTGAATAAAACCTCTAGGGTTTTGTCCTCCAAGATTCTCTGAATTTGGGGTTTTTTGCACGATTCGTCTCAACACATATTCAGCCGAGTGAAGGTAATTGAGGAGCGGTGGGTTCCGTCGATTTAGTAACGGTAAACAGAGGATTGTGAAGGAGAGTTTCGAGTTCGACACGCGGGTGATTGAAATCGGCCTGGCCAGATTTTGAAGACGGAAGGTTGTTCAAAGATAGTGCCACAATCGGAGGTTTATTCACAAGCTGTTGAAGTACTTGATTCGAATCGAATCAAGGGGCAAGAAGAGATAGTATCTACAACAACAAGAGTGTTCGTGCGTTTGATTTCTATTCAGTTCTTGTATAAACTTTCAACAACAGGTTAAATCTGTATATTAAAAGGTCTTAATTATATCATTAGAATTGAGGGCAGATGTACCCCGAGCGAGGACGATGGGGGAACTGCCTCAACAAATCATTGTGTCTTTTGCCTTACGTTTTATATTGCTTAACATTTGTGTTTTAGTGCAAACAATTATATCAACCTAGGTCTGGTTTGAGTAGTGCTAAACTGATTTTTGAGCCTAGTACAATCATTGATTGTAGGAGGAAACTTGAGCAACTCATTCTCAAAACAGAACTCACTTGTAGTGTGGTGCACGCCAAGTGTTTGATAAATTGTCTGAACTAAAACTTTGTGTGATGTCCTTTCATTGTGTTAATATTTTTAAGGTAGTGGAACTAGTCACACCATATAGTGAGCTGAATCAAATTGATAGTGTGATTAACATAGTGATTCTCATATCTCGTTATCAGATTCCATAGGCTTAACGCATATCCGGTTTTCTAGTTACCATTCATTTTAGAAGGTATGGTTCCTCGGCCGCTTCCGCAAATTAAACAATTTTTAAAAACCAATTTTCTTGGTAGCGCCGACTCTTTTAAGCAAGCAATTTATTCAACCCCCTTTCTAGATCCGCGTCATCGCCTAACAAGTGGTATCAGGAGCACCGGTTCACTCCGTGCTTCAAGTATAACTTAGTAGAAAATGGCTAACGAGTCTAAAGGGGCTTATAATAGAGCACCTGTTTTTAATGGAGAAAACTATAGTTACTAGAAAGACTGTATGCATGTGCATATAAATTCCATTGACAGGAAGGTGTGGAATGTTATTCTAAACGGTCCCATAAAAATAACCATGACTAATGAAAATAACATGATTGTTCCTAAGCCTGAAGCACAATGGAATGATGATGACAAGAAGAAATATAATTACAATTGGAAAGCCAAAAATATTCTGATCTCCTCTTTAGGAATTAACGAATATTATAGGGTTTCTCATTGTTTAACGGCAAAAGCTATGTGAGACTCATTGCAAGTTTCCCATGATGGAACCAATGATGTTAAGCTAGCGAGAATCAATACATTAACGCAAGAGTTTGATCTCTTTCACATGGAGCAAGGGGAAACCATTGCGGACATGCAAAAGAGATTCACTCATCTCATCAATAGACTATACTCACTAGGTAGGCCAGTTGTCAATGATGTTGCTACTAATAAAATTTTGAGATTTCTTAACAGGGAATGACAACCAAAGGTAACCGCCATTAAATAAGCTAACGATCTCATGATTTTGGATCTCACAACATTGTTTGGAAAGCTGCAAGAGTACGAACGAGTGCTTCTTAGTCTAGAGCAATATGAAAAGAAGGAAAAGAAGGAGAAAACGAAAAATATTAAAAAGAAGTCTATCACTCTCAAGACTTCTTGCTCAAAGTCCCAAACAAAAGAGCATAGTGATTACACCACGAGTGATGACGAAGATGATGACAAGAGTGAGGATATGGGGCTGTTTGTAAAACGATACAATCGCTATGTCAAAAAGAACGATATCCAACATTCTAAGAAAAATCTTTTCAACTTTCGGAAACAATCAAGATACTTCAGAAATGACGACAATATATAAAGGAAACAAAACAAAAGGGTCGTGTTATAATTGCGGAAATACCGGACACTACAAACCGGATTGTCCCTTGAAGAAAAAGGACAACAAAAAGGAAACAAGTAGGTCACATAAGAAGCAACCTAAGCCAAGAAGAGCGCATATCGCTTGGGAAAACGATAGCGAATAATCCAAGGATGGCAGCTCTAGTGACGAAGACGAATCCACCAATCTTTGTATTTCCGCCCATCAAAAGAACAAAAAGAAAAAGGTACGACATGCGAAGTATGAAAACTACTCTAAATTGTCTCATTTTGAATTGCAAACTGCTTTTAATACTTTACATTATGAAGCAAAAGAAGCTTTTAACTTAGGAAAATGTTGTTTTAAGATTCCTTCAAACTTAGGAAACTTCATTCACTTGAGGTACTTAAGAATAAACTCAGAAGATATTATAAGTGTTCCAAATTCTATATGCAATCTTCAGAATCTAGAAACATTAGACCTTGGATCTTCCTGGAATGACACAATTTATTTCCCCATGGGAATATTAAAGCTCAAGCATCTAAGGCATATGTACAGTGTTGGGTTTATGATGCCACGAGGTCGTTGTTTAGAATCAAATGGTGATGTAATGTGGAATCTTCAAACAATCACTTGCATTGTACTCAATAAGAAAACAACATATCTCATAAAGAGAGGAAGTTTCCCCAAACTAAGAAAATTAGGATTGTTTATCTCCTCATACCTCAAGGGTGATGTGCCCAAAATGCTGCTAAGCTTACAACAACTGAAACATTTGAATAAGCTAGAAATCATGTTTGAAGGGAAAATTTTGCCATACTCGCGATGGAATATCAATAACAAGCCCGCGGAAGTTTTAGAAAGCTTGAAGGACTTGAGCCATCTGAGTACACTGAAAATTATCCAGGCATGCGAGCTTGTAAAATGTGTAGTCACGTTTCCTCCCAACATTACCACGTTAAAATTGATATATATTACTTGTTTGAATGACGATGGAATCAATGCCATTGGAAATCTCACCAAACTTCGAAGGTTGTTCTTAGCTGGAGAAACATGGTTGCTTGCATACGGTGTTTTTGAGTATCAATGTTCGATTTTTGATCTTAGTTGCGGTGAAGATGGGTTCCCACAGCTGCAGGAGTTTCATATGAAAGATTTACCTATCCGAAGCTGGAAGTTAGGTAATGGTTCAATGTCACGCCTTCAAATCCTTCATATTGATCAATGTTATAAGTTGAATAGCCTCCCAAGTGAGCTATGGTCTTTGACTACCTTAACAAAAGTACATGTTCGGAATCCTTCCAATGGAATGGCTGCAATGCTACACAATTTGGAAGTTAAGAATGGACGTGAAATCATTGTAGAGTAATTAGAATTAATGTTTGTTTGCTTTAAATTTGTAAGTTGCTAACAAAAACTTTCTCCATTTTTTACAGTATATTTTGAACAGTTTATTTATTAATTTCATGTCTCTTTCTTCTTATTTTATGTATTTCTATTTAGTTAACTAATGTATTTGAGGCTTAGTAACATTTAAGAAATATTATTAAATAAAAAATATTAACTTTAAATTTATCAGCATTTTAAGAAATATTATAAGTTATATATTACTCAATATTCGTGTAAAATTGAGTCACTTTGATGCACTGAATCCTAATATGGTGAAATGAGGGTGTGGGCGACTGAACACAACGTTACTCAATATTCGTGTAAAATTGAGTCACTTTGATGCTCTGAATCCTAATATGGTGAAATGAGGGCGTGGGCGACTGAACACAACGGTGCCACCGTCGCTGGAAACCCTACCGGTACCGAAGGTCCAAGAAGAAGAGTTACGAGCAAATCTCAATGAAGTGGAGGAAAACAACAACGATGAAGAGAAGATCAACAATACGAACGAAACCCTAACGAAAAATGTGAAACTTAAACTGATGGAAAAGAAACTCTGGGTAGATGTAATTAACGATAATCGGAACCCGACCAAAGGCTTGACTATGAAGTATGTGGCCCTGAAGATGGACAACAGGGTTGTAAAAATCGAGATCGATCAAGAAGATATTGCTACTGAAATTCAATTCTAGGAAAAGATTTGAGTATGAATGCCATGAAGAACTATATGCAGAAAATGTGGAATTTTGGGAAGATTCTGGAGCTCTACTACCATGATGAGGGCTATTTTTTGGTAAGATTCTGTTCCTAGGAGGATAGAGATGAGGTGATGATGAAAGGACCCTACCCTATAAGGAACATGCCATTGATTTTAAAGGAGTGAAGACCTGAATTCAATCTAAAGAAAGACTTGCTGCAAACGCTCCCGATTTGGATTAAACTCCTTCAACTTCCTCTTCATCTATGGGGAGTCAAAAGCCTCAACAAGATTGGAAGTGCCATAGGTAAACCACTTGTAACTGATTAATGTACGGCAAACAAGCTCCGCGTATCGTATGCTAGAATCTTGATTGAAGTAGACATCACACAATAGCTTTTCAGTGAAATTGCCATAAAGAACTATGAAGGAAACATGATGATGCAACTGTGATATATAAGATGTGCTCGTTTCGATGATGTCAAAACTTAACTCCATAGAAGAATCGATGTTGGGCGTTATCACCATGTTGCATTTGCATACCTCGTTTTTCATAATTAAATTGCTTGCATAAAATATCTCGGTTGTTGCATATAGATTTGTCAAAATATGTGTCATATGAGTTAGACGTTATTGGTGTCGTTTGTCATATCATAGATGTCATCAAAAAGAGTCGAGATTATGAAATTAGGCATTTTTAGCAATTTCAGGTCTGTGAGTCGACCAAAGTTCTGTTCCAGTCGACTCACACTATGAGTCAATTTTGTGAATTTGCTTCGGGAGAGCTCGCGTCGACCCACTGGTCGACTCATACTGTTGGCATTTTGATTTGTCTAAAATTTCATGCTATGCATCGACACATACCTTGTTCCGGTCGACGCATGGTTCTGGGATTTGCACAAGTTTGCAACCGGGTTAGCTCAGGTCAACCGCTCGATGTTTTATGTTATTTTTTTGTTATGTTAACTACCTTTGTAAAGTGGTTTTAGTTGTTATGACAGTTATGTTTGGTATATAAGTCAAGTTGCTATTTTCACTTCATAACATTGAGAAAAACAAGAAAAGTGAAATAGGTATCGATTCGGTTCTCATCATCTTCATTCTCTTCATAGCATATCACAACAATTACATATAATCATCTTTGTTGTGCATTGTGCATTGTTAGAGGTGATAATGTTCGAAGCCGAAGATTTGATAATCCATTTCGGGTTGAGGAATCGACAGGTTTTTCTTGAATAAAACCTCTAGGGTTTTGTCCTCCAAGATTCTCTGAATTTGGGTTTTTTTTGCACGATTCGTCTCAACACATATTCAGCCGAGTGAAGGTAATCGAGGAGCGGTGGGTTCCGTCGATTTAGTAACGGTAAACAGAGGATTGTGAAGGAGAGTTTCGGGTTCGACACACGGGTGATTGAAATCGGCCTGGCCAGATTTTGAAGACGGAAGGTTGTTCAAAGATAGTGCCACAATCGGAGGTTTATTCACAAACTGTCGAAGTACTTGATTCGAATCGAATCAAGGGGCAAGAAGAGATAGTATCTACAACAACAAGAGTGTTCGTGCGTTTGATTTCTATTCACTTCCTGTATAAACTTTCAACAACAGGTTAAATCTGTATATTAACAAGTCTCAATTATATCATTAGAATTGAGGGCAGATGTACCCCGAGCGAGGACGAAAGGGGAACTGCCTCAACAAATCATTGTGTCTTTTGCCTTACGTTTTATATTGCTTAACATTTGTGTTTTAGTGCAAATAATTATATCAACCTAGGTCTAGTTTGAGTAGTGCTAAACTGATTTTTGAGCCTAGTACAATCGTTGGTTGTAGGAGGAAACTTAAGCAACTCATTCTCAAAACAGAACTCACTTCTAGTGTGGTGCACGCCAAGTGTTTGATAAATTGTCTGAACTAAAACTTTGTGTGATGTCCTTTCATTGTGTTAATATTTTTAAGACAGTGGAACTAGTCACACCATATAGTGAGCTGAATTAAATTGATAGTGTGATTAACATAGTGATTCTCATATCTCGTTATCGGATTCCATAGGCTTAACGCCTATCCAGTTTTCTAGTAACCATTCATTTTAGAAGGTATAGTTCCTCAGCCGCTTCCGCAAATTAAACAATTTTTAAAAACCAATTTTCTTGGTAGCGCCGACTCTTTTGAGCAAGCGATCTATTCAACCCCCTTTCTAGATCTGCGTCATCGTCTAACAAGTGGTATCAGGAGCACCGGTTCACTCCGTGCTTCAAGTATAACTTAGTAGAAAATGGCTAACGAGTCTAAAGGGGCCTATAATAGAGCACCTGTTTTTAATGGAGAAAACTATAGTTACTGGAAAGACTGTATGCGTGTGCATATAAATTCCATTGACAGGAAGGTGTGGAATGTTATTCTAAACGGTCCCATAGAAATAACCATGACTAATGAAAATAACATGATTGTTCCTAAGCCTGAAGCACAATGGAATGATGATGATGACGAGAAGAAATATAATTACGATTGGAAAGCCAAAAATATTCTGATCTCCTCTTTAGGAGTTGACGAATATTATAGGGTTTCTCATTGTTTAACGGCAAAAGCTATGTGAGACTCATTGCAAGTTGCCCATGATGGAACCAATGATGTTAAGCTGGCGAGAATCAATACATTAACGCAAGAATTTGATCTCTTTCACATGGAGCAAGGGGAAACCATTGCGGACATGCAAAAGAGATTCACTCATCTCATCAATAGACTATACTCACTAGGTAGGCCAGTTGCCAATGATGTTGCTACTAATAAAATTTTGAGATTTCTTAACAGGGAATGACAACCAAAGGTAACCGCCATTAAAGAAGCTAACGATCTCATGATTTTGGATCTCACAACATTGTTTGGAAAGCTGCAAGAGCATGAACAAGTGCTTTTTAGTCTAGAGCAATATGAAAAGAAGGAAAAGAAGGAGAAAACGAAAAATATTAAAAAGAAGTCTATCGCTCTCAAGACTTCTTGCTCAAAGTCCCAAACAAAATGACGAAGATGATGACAAGAGTGAGGATATGGGGCTGTTTGTAAAGCGATACAATCGCTATGTCAAAAAGAACAGTATCCAACATTCTAAGAAAAATCTTGTCAACTTTCGGAAACAATCAAGATACTTCAGAAATGACGACAATAAAGGAAACAAAACAAAAGGGTCGTGTTATAATTACGGAAATACCGGACACTACAAACCAGATTGTCCCTCGAAGAAAAAGGACAACAAGAAGGAAACAAGTAGGTCACATAAGAAGCAACCTAAGCCAAGAAGAGCGCATATCGCTTGGGAAAGCGATAGCGAATCATCCGAGGATGGCAGCTCTAGTGACGAAGACGAATCCACCAATCTTTGTATTTCCGCCCATCAAAAGAACAAAAAGAAAAAGGTACGACATGCAAAGTATGAAAAGTACTCTAAATTGTCTCACTTTGAATTGCAAACTGCTTTTAATACTTTACATTATGAAGCAAAAGAAGCTTTTAAATGTCTTGCCACAAATAAACAAATCTTTGCTCACCTAGAGAAAAAAATTCGTGATTCCGAAAAGAAACTAGAGGTATTAAAAGCTTCCATAGTGGAAAGTACAAAAGTAGATTTTGAGGAAATAAGAAAGAGAGTTGTTAACTTTGGGTGTGATACTTGTTACATTTGACAAAATGAAGTTAGAAATCTAAATGCCAAACTTAACAAGGCTCTAGAGCCCAAAATTACTTTTGCCATTGATAAAGCTCATTTTAGAAAGAGTACGGTTAATCCATATCAAAAATACACATATGTTGTAAAAAAATCATGATAGCAAAAGTGATTCAAAAGTTAACTTTTCTTGTTTGTATTGTTGCAAGAAGGGTCACACCATTGCTAAATGTCACTTTAGGAGATTTTTGGTTCCTAAAGGGGTTTATCAATGGTTGCCTAAATGTGACCATGTTTTCAATCACAACCTAGGACCCAATAAACAATTGGGTACCTATTCTTTCTAATTGTGTTCATAGGTACAATGTCTTGAGACTACCGAGAGAAGATGTGTTCTTGATAGTGGCTGCTCAAGATAAATGACAGGAGACATATCTCTCTTCATTGACTTTGTGGCAAAGAAGAAGGGATTTGTAACCTATGGAGACAATAACCATGGTGCAATACTTGGAAAAGGTGGTGTAGGTAATCCCTCTTCTACTACTATCTCCGATGTGTTTCTAGTCGAGGGCCTTACACATAATCTCATTAGCATTATCCAATTCTGTGACAAAGGATACAAAGT